TGATACTTCAGACAGCTGGTTGGCGCGGCCAAGAGCCCATGATAGAGGCTGAGTCTCCCTTTACTCAGTTTAATGCCCTATCCTCATCTATAGTACTTTTAAGTACTTCCTTACCTCTCCCCTTCTGTTTCCACAGGTCCAGAAGATGGACAATTTGTTCCATTACGCAATGGAAAACTGTCAGGGCAAAGCTTGCTTTTCTGCAGCTGAGAAAGCCACAAGGTGAGCAACCTCCCACTCTCCCCTCTCCTAAGTCACATAGAAGTCAGTGTAGCAATAGCTCAGATACGGCTTTGTGCACCCATAACCTGCTGGAATGGGTGCCCTGGACTTGAGATTTCTCTGTTTGTCTTCTCTGCTTTGCAGCCTGTCTTTATGCTGCTGCAGCAGCCAGTGCCACGACATCAGGACACACGGGCTTATCTGAGCTGGCATTCAGCTTGGTAAGTCAAGTTCAACTAGCAAAGAACTGCAGTTAGCAATTCAACACACACAATCAATCCAAGAATCTTCATAAAGACATAATTACATTCCAGCCTCTGTTTAAAATTATGGAAACTATACCCAGTCACCACATCTAAATGTGAATTCATGGATTTTAAAGCCTAATTCTGTGCTATTTTTAAAACGAAACAAAACTCTTGCCTTTTGTTGTAAACTGGGTCTCAAAAGTATTTCTCCACAGCAATACAGAACATTAAAACATATGTTTTATAAATAAAATACTTTTATTAGACTAGTACATGTATTTTAAATGTATTAAAATGTATTAGACTAGTACTAGTATTTTAAATCAAGAATTAAAATACAGTTGGTATTAAACTATTATTTCAGTTCATTTCACTAAAGTCAAAGTTACTGTAGATTACTCAGGAGGTAATATTTATCTGGAAATTATTTTTTTTTTAAATATAAGTAGACTTTCTTTTTCCTCTTTTTATTAAGCATGTTTTGGCTATATAATTTAAACTAGACAACTTAGCTAATAGAGCATAATACTAAGCAAAACCAGAACTTAACTGGAACTGTTAATAAACTGTTTTACTGATCTGTTCCTGCTTCTGATGTGAAAATTATCCCATCACTACATTTATGCTTTCATTTCATTAAATACAATTATTTTTCATTGTGCTCTCTGAAAGAGCTCCATCCAAGAAAAACATTTAGAGATACTCCAGATACCTAGTACAGCTTATTGAGTAACTGCTTCTAAGAAGACTCCTAGATAGAGAAAACTCTTCTATCATTTCTTCTTGTTTTATAGAAGCATCGTAACACTCTTTACCTACTTGGACACCAGCCACATCCTGGTGCAGTACTCAGAAATGGAAAAACATACTCGGGTGTGGCCTCTACAGACCACACTGTCACCTGAGCATTCAGTTACAGTGGTTTTCCATAGAGTCGGAAATGTAAGAAAACAGCTGGCCACAGCAAAACAAAGAGCGGTCTCTTCTAAAACAAGAGACCCTTTATACAATAAACAGGCTCAGTGTGCCACTTCAGAATGATACAGTGGCAAGACAATATAAGGCTCAACTTAGATTAAAAAATGGTAACCTGGTGTATATATATCTTTCAAGCCCACAGATAGACTTGTGAATTATTTCAATTTGCTGTTCTAAATATCAGCTGTATCAGAAACCTCATTCTGGCCTAAGTTTTACTATCTTGCTGTTGTGCAAACAAGGCAAAGTTAGTTATCCTGCAGCTCCTTTGGGATGCTGTTACAAGCAATGTTGTTGCTTTTGTTTCAGATAGTATGGTTACATTACTTCAGGGATCGTGTAACCTTTCGGATACATTTCTATTTTTACATAGTATCTCTCATAGGCTCAATGACAATAATTTTTCTGTCAATCCTCAGTTGAAAGAAATCTTATAGGCAATGCTTTGGTCATCACCTAAACCAGTGGCTGTTTTCATGCTCCTCAAATGCAAAATAAAATTTTAACTTAGGCCTCTTCCTTCAGTAAGAAAGGTGTGTCAAGTCAGTCCCACTGAGTCTTGTTATTGTACCACTGTAATGGGATCATTTTCAGCATGTGCTCCCCATTTCCTCAGAGGAATAAGCGGGGCCTGTCTCTGTGCTCTTCACTGATCCTGATGTCTCAACAGTCTTGGCTAGATAGGGTGAAGAACCTGGACTGCTTTACCTTTTTTAAGGGACAATTGGATGAAAGGGGTTCCAGCTTTAATAAGTATTTCCTTTTCTTCCCCTCCCCCCCAGTGTAGGAGCAATATAAGTTGATGCAACTTAAACTCCTGGTCAAATAATTTAACCCAGACCAGTAACACCCTCGTGATGTAACATCCCATCCTGATGACTCTGTCATTCTATGAAAGACTTAACTGCATTAACTTAAATTCATGTCAAGTTAAAAGGAGGAACCTCTCTCATATAGGATTTCTTCTGCACACCCATTTCATGGTAGGTTTCTGTATTTTTTGCTGATCTTTTATTACTGCCCATATGCCAGACATTCTTCTGCCAGCATCCAAATATATCTGTTCTCAAAAGATTTAACATGGATTTATTTTAAAATACAAAATTTGATTGTTCATATATAGTCTGATATTTATCCCAATGTATATATAGCAAACAAGGCTGAAAAACACAGATTTTCCAACAAGTGTTTACATTTCCATTTAATATGAGAATACTTTCCCGTTATATAGTAAGAATATGAAGTACAGAAAAAACAAATTAATATAATGATCTGGGAAAGAGAAATGTTTACAGTTTTAGAGAGTCATCTCCTGCATCTAGAGGAAATATCACACATACCTTGTAAAGTTGTACACAGTACTGTAATATATATGACATAATTTTCCAATTTCTTGGAAGAGAGTCATGAAAGCCATTTATAAACAACTAGCTCATATTTTCTCCAGAATAAATCACACGAATTACATGTAGAAACTGGAGTAAGGAGGGATTATATAGCAGTGCCATTAAAACAGTCCAAAAAAAGCACTGATCCTACAGTTGAATCTGAGTAGCCATACACCTGAGCAAGACCAAGAACAGTTTCTCCAAAAAGTCTGATCAAAATTCATTGATAAAATCAGACAGAACAATAATATTAGCATTTGAAGAGTATGACAGTACAGTAAGATCATTGAAAATATCCCTGTTTTATCAATTACCTTCCAACAAAAATCATAATCTGAATCACAAGTATACTGCATAGCTGCATAAGCACCAAGATAATATAAAGTAAAAGCTTATCCATCAAGTCCCTCTGATAAAAGGTCCCCTATAAAAATGCCAATTTTTAATGTACATTTAAGTACTTATGGCAAGAGGTACTGATTCCATAAACGAAAAGTCACTGCAAAGTCTGAAAAAAAAATCTAAAACTTGAAAAAAGTCAAAAGTAGAGCATTTTCTAATGGTCTGAGAAACAGCAAAATTCACTCCAGTTCCTGAGATAAATTGCAGATCAATTGTGAAAATTTACCAGATTGCACCACACTCTCTTTCCCACCTTCTCTTACACACTGCACACAAGGTCGGTACTGAAGCATCTACTAAACTCACAAGTCAGCAAAGCATGTGAAAGCTCAAAACATTCACATTTCCTTTTCCATTATAAAAACAAGAGACTGGCAACTTAGGTGAGAGACAGATAGACTTTTACCACAGTCTGTCAAAATAATTTCCAGGCAGATGCAGTTGTTTTAAACTAACTGCACTTACATCTTTTAAAACTAATATAATTTTGTGTTTCTATCCTGTTTTCACTGACAACTGTGCTCTTATTCATGCATCTGCTGTTTAAAAGAGCATTCCGTACATGAGTTCAAACTCCCGGGGTCAAATTTTTTAAAAGAGCATGTGTCACCTAACAGCTCAGCAGGTCTCTGTATGCTGGAACCATCAATGTGCTTCATTGCTACTAGCCATATGGTCAGTTCCTAACTTAGCATTAATGTTGTGCTCCATCTTCTGTAAAACAGCTGGAAGATCCAGAACAGAAGAAATAATATAATGAGGTACTGGGGAGGTATCTACCGGGGTGGTCATTGCTTTGTTTAACCAGACCGTTGCTTTCAAGCCAGCATTCAGGCCTCCTTGAATATCTGTATCTAGAGAGTCACCAACCATCACACACTCTGCGGGCTGCACCCCCAGGAGATCGCAGCAGTAATGAAATATGGATGGCGCCGGTTTCTCTTCTTTCTGCTCTCCCCCTACAACGATAGCATCGAAGTAGGGCTGGCAGGCGCACGCCTCGATCTTCTCCCTCTGCGTCTGCCTGTCGCCGTTCGTGAGGAGCAGCAGGCGAACCCTCTTCCGCAGCTCCGTGAGCATCCCCCGCGTGTCCTCGGCCAGCGTCAGGTGCTGCAGCCGCGTCGTCTTCCACAGGTAATAGCACTCGGCCGCCAGGTCGCGGTTCGCCTCCCCCCCGATGGTCTCCTGGATCGCCTCCTCCCAGTGCGAGATCCGCAGGTCGGTGATGCACATCTTGGCGGGATCGTGGCACTCCTTGAGAAGCTTGGCCTGGACCTTGTCGCAGATGGCGCGCGCCTCTCCCTCGCCGTAGTGGTGCTTGGACTGCAGGGCGCTGATCACCTGCAAGGGACACGGGGCCGCGCGTCAGGGCGCTCCCGGGAGCGGCCCCCAGCTGCATGGGGGCAGGGGAGGGGAGCGCGACAGTCGCGGCCCCGCGGCGGCCGGGCCGGGAAGAGCCGGGCCGGGAAGGCCGGTGGCCGCGGACCTAGCGCGGGGAAGGGGACAGGGGCAGTACCTCCTCGATGGCGCGGCGCCCGGCCGCCGCCGTGTCCACCAGCGTGTTGTCCAGGTCGAAGAACACCGCCTTGACGCCGTGCAGCCCCATGGCACCGCCTCCCGCGCGAGCCGCCCCGCTGGAACAGCGGAGGAGAGCGCCCCGAGCCGCCGGAACAGCCGCCCGTGCCGGGCACAGCACGGCGGGGCCGCCCGGGGCCTCCCGGACCCGCCCCGGGCCCGCCCCTCGCGTCAGGCCCGAGGGGCGGTGCGGGAGGGGAGCGCGTTCGTCGCTGGGCGGCGGAGGGAGCTCGGCCCTCCCCGCCAGGAAATAAGGGTTGAACTCACGCCAGGCCCTGGAATGGGCTGTGAGGAGACCCCCGCCCAGATCCCGAGAGCTTGGGCGGGGCAGAAAAGGCTGCGGGAGCTCCGGTGCTCTGGGAGCTGCAGCGGAATGCAGAGGGAAAGGGAGCCGAGGCGGGGCGGCGTCTGAGCCCGGGATTAGACTGCACCTGCCTGGGGAGGGAGTAGGAAAGAAAGAAAGAAAGAAAGGAAGCAGAGAGGGAAGGAGGGAGGAAGGGAGGAAGGGAGGGAGGGAGGGAGGGGTGAGCAGGCATGCGGGACGCAGCGGTACCGCTGTCGCGGATGTGGCGGGGGGTGGTGCCACGCCGTGGGATTTTTGGTGTGCGGTTTGGTGGTTTGGTGTTTTGTTTGGTAATTTTTTTCCTCTGTTTAGGAATGCTCTCTAGGTGAGACAACGGACAGCTAGCATCTGATTGGAAAATACCTGTTGAAATGCTGCCAGGGAACAGCTTTGCCGTGAAAGGATTCCTCCCGCGGCGCTCCCACCGGGGAAGGACCGCGCGGTGGCTCTCGCTCCCGTTCCTTGCCTGTTGCCGGCCGTTGGCGCAGCTCCGCTCCCTGTGCCGGCCCCGGAGATAGCGGCCTCCCTGGTGTCATACCCGCGGCTGCTGTCGCTGGAGAAGCCTTATAAAAGGTCACCAGCGAGGTCTCTACACGGTGTCGCTGGCGCGTGGCGCCCAAAGATGCCGAAGTCTGTAGGTTTGCGCTTCGGAGCGTTCCGTGCACGGGCGTTGGTGAACAGGGAGCTGCACGAGGGAGAAGGAGGACACACGTGAGAGATTCGATTAATTTCGCCTTTCTCGGCTTCCCTGTTGCCTTCTGGAGCGCGTTGTCCTGCAGAGTCACCTGCAGGCAAAGCAAACCGCAGCACCGGGATTGAATCATCCATAAACAAAAGTTCGTGATAAAGCCAAAGTCAGTAACTACACTATTTGGGGAACTGGCACGATAGTAAAATATTTGAAGTTCCAAAGGTCAGTATTTTCTAAAGCAAATGAGTCGGAAAAGCATTCAGATGAAGGCCTGAACGGCTTGGTAGGAAGTTTTTTAAGCATATGTACCAAATGCCGTTCCAGAATAGATCATTTAACAGCAGGCTTGATTGCTCAAGTAATATTTCAATTGTTCTTTGATAATGTTTTGATAAACATTGATAAATTGATAAAATTTTTATCAGCTAGCAAGGAAATTTTGTTAATTTGATTGGTATGTAATACTGCTGTTGTTGATTAGGCATTAATAACTAACTGCAATTAGCAAAGCTGGAGGAAACTTTGTTTCTTACCAGAGAAACTGGAAGTTCACCTTTAGGTCACTTTCAGTTCTGCAAACTGCACCTTGGATAGTAATCCCTTTTTGTGATAAAAGATGTTGAGTCACACACAAGGCCAAAATAAACTGTTCTCTAGAGCTTGGTATATGACAATTAGAATTACAGAAGGCAAGCCTTTAAGGAGAGAGGAGGATTCTGAGAAGAAATAGAGATGGCTAAGGATTCTGTAGTTAAGGCAATAGGAGTTTTAATAAAATTTCTCTAGCTGACTTTAATAAAATGCACTACTTTCACTTGATAAAATGGAAAAGGTGTTAGACATGTGAATTTCGTGTGCCTTTTACTAAATCACTGTTGTGAGATCCTGGATCCGAATCTCACTGAATTATTGATATGGGTCAGAACCAACTCCCTGTGAGTGTGTGTGTGCATGTGGGGAAGGGCTGGGCCTGGACCTGCAGATCTCTGGTAAGGCCTGCGCATAAGGCCTGTGCTGAGGGTACAAGGCAAAGCTGGAGGGCAAGGCCTGCAGCCCATGCAGAGCACAGGGCATCACTGAAGGCCCTGCAGTTGGGCTGTCAGTCAAGGCAGACCTGACTGGTAGCCTGTCCACACTACACCCCTGCAGCCTGTGACTGGCCACAGCAAAACTCACTCTAGCCTGGAAGGCACTGACTGGATATCCTGCCTGGGAGGGAAAAACTGAACTCTATAAATACTCCATATGGTCTCTCTCTCCCTCCCTCTGGTCTCTCCTGCAGCCTGAACCATGTGAGTTGGTAACAATTTCTTTCCCCTTCTCCTCCTTCTCTCTTCCTCTCCAGCTGGCACCACGTGAATCATTGAATCTTGTCAGAAACTATTCTCCTTTCTCTCTCTCCTTTCTTTCTGTCTTTCTTTCTTTCTTTATTCTTTCTAATCTGTTTTCTTTTACTCTTTTCCTTCTTTTGTGGGTAACTTAAAACCAATGAACTGCATTTTACTAAAGCTGTTGAATGGATTGTTTAGTGGGTGTTTTCTGTGGAATGGGTCTTTGTGCTGAATGTTTTAGTGATATACTTTTTTTCTTGGTTGTATTTTACTCCTGTAAAAACCTTTTGCCAAATATCCTTTTTTTTCTCACTAAATTAAAAAGAGTTTCTCTCAGAGAAGAGCATATGACACTTTCTCTGGACGCTAATTAGAGGTTATAATGAACCAAAAGGCCTTTAAAAACTCTTAAATAAAAATGTAACCACTCTGGTCAGTTTATAGCTTAATCCAGAGTGCAACAACTTTTTCAGAATTTACACAGAAAACTGGTTAACAATAGCTGAATTTCTAGGATTCTCTCTACGTAAGAAGATGGCATTTTTTCCAGAAAGCCCTGCATTGCAGTCAGTGAGCAGTGGATCCTATGTGCACCTTTGGGAAAAGGTACATTTCCATAAAATTAATGTTTGTGCTTTCTTTGAGTGTTGGCAAAGAGGTCATAGTTGGAAAATAAATGTCTTAAAGGATTTTATAAGGTATATATTTGATTAGAAGGTTTCAGTTATGGAATTGAAACAGTTAAACCATGAATTATAGTTGTATTTTAAACTTTTTTATTTTCAGTTTTCTCATCAACTGACAGTCCATAGAAAACCTTTGTTTGCTTCAGAGTAGGACCGTAACTGTGAAATGTCCTTTTGTGTATGCTTGGAAAAGTCTCTACAAGGTTGTTGAACTTCAGCAGCTGTTTGCCATGCTGTATTTATTTGAACCCCCATGGTTAGCAAATAAGCCCACTAATGACAGCTCTATCTATCAGCAAGTGCATTACTTTCTCATTGTTCTTTCTGCAGGCTTGCTAGAGTCTGGAAATGCCTCACAGAAGCTCAGAGCCAAGAAAACAATAGTTATTGGAAACCTAAGTAGGAGACAAGCTGAAATACAAGGTGTACTGCATGTTCTAGAAGTGATAATGTAAGAATGCCATTTTGGTATCCTTAAACAAGCTCCATACATAGAATCAATGGAATTGCTCTAGATGGCTTTTAACAAAGAACAACATCATTAACAGTTTCAAAGGAAACCAGTTTTGTCCATACATACAGAAATAATAACTTGTGAATTATGTGATTCATATCATGGTTTGTCCTTTTTTTTTTTTCTTCCCCTACAAGATGATTATACTTAGAAGTTCTGTGTTTGGAACTCTCTGATCCTTTTTTCTGCATCCCCACTGGTGTCTGAATGGGTTCCTTGTTAGTTTTGTGAGCACTATGAGAGAGCAGGTGTACTTCCTGGGTGCCCAAGTAATTTCCTTATACTGAGGAAGACCTAAGGCTTACTGCTGTTTTCCCTCTCTCCTCTATGGCTGTCTGGTTTCTGCTGAGGAGAGACCTTGCAGATGGGTGGGAATCAAAGCACAGTTCCATAGGTTTTGTATCTGGGTGGTCAGGAGCAGATGCTGTATGTACACAGTGAAATTTGCTCCATACTTTAGATCTTGCCTCTGGAAAGTAATCTTGAAGGTTTTTCTTTCCAACTTCAACAGAATATATTATTAATTTGGTGGCTGATTTTTTTTTCCTTTATCCCAGTAAGAATTTTACTATGAAGTGCCTTAATGTTTAGTGATACCCATAACATGTTTCAAGTTTAATGTATTGAGGAATACTTGACATCCAAGTGGCTCAGCCTGCAAGCTGCAAGTTGAAATACAAACTGGGCTCTGGGTGGGAGCACAAGATGAGGCCGTGAACTGCCAATGTTTGGGATCACAAAGGACACGAAGACGACTTTGTCAGCTGTTTGATAACAAAGGAGATGAAGACAGGTGATGCCAGCGAGGTGGATGGGCATGGAGAGGGGAGGCAGGAGGAGAAGATAGAGAAGGAAGAGCCAGACTGGTGTGTGTGGGAGACTGTGAAGGTATGAAAAAAGCCCAGGTGTTCTAGGCTCAGGGCTTGTTCTTGGAGGGACCGTCTTGAGTTGTTGTTGTGTTACTGTGCCAGGAATAAATTGCCTTGTGGAACGTCTTAGACTGCTGAGGGAAACTTTGGGTTGAACTGATAAGGAAGTATGGTCTGTCTGTGTGTGAGTGGGGTGAGTGAGGTGTGTAGGGAGTCCAGTGGGATGCCCATCAGCTTTTTGGAGCTAACCACTGTGAAGGGCCTTTGGTCCCAGCAGTGAAAGTCTCTGGTTCTTGTAAGAGTGACCACCAGTGAGTCTCATGAATGATCAGACTGGGAAGTTTTATTAACAAATGAAGCGTTAAAAAATGAGAAATGAGAAACTGCTCTCGTTGGAGGAAGTTATCTGTTGACTTAAATCAAAATAGAACTGTGTGAAAAAATCTGAGCAGGCTGAGTGGACTGACTAACAACATTCAGTTTGGATAAATGCAGACAATCCAGGATGAAAGAAAAAAATGCTTGTTACACTATTTTTTCCCTGCTTTTTAATATTTCTAAATTCCATATGTCCACTTTGGTGTCATCTCTATAGAGTGGAAAATTACCTGTTTAAAATCATCTCTTATCGATGTGGTGATGTACCATGTAAAAAAATATTTTTAATTTTTTTTTCTTAATTTACATTAGTGATACAGCATTATTTGGAGTAACTCATGCTTAGTGATCACCTCATTAAAGAAGTATGCCAGATGTAGATTTGGATGGTTAGAAAAAGTGTTTAAGGGCTAAGGAAAAACTTAAAATTATTGTGGAAAAATGGAATGGTATAAAAAATAAGATGCCTAAAACAATACTGAACCAAAAGCATAACAGCTGAATTGAAAAATCAAAATTTATAAAGGGCAATACTTTTTATGTGCCATAACTATGGTTTGGATTTTATTTCTCTGAGAATCTGCTGAGGCTGTTGCAGTATTGCAGAGCAGTGGGATACTGATATGAACCCCAAGAACATCTGGATCTGTCGTTCAGTCTGTCACACTTCGTAAAGGATTGTCGGAAAATAAACTTCAGCTCAGTCAGACCCAATACAGGAATGTAAGCGTTAATCGGCTAGTCAGAGACGGAAAAGGGCCACTAAGAAAACATATTTGGATGTATTTGGGAGAAGCTGGGTGCGCCACTGCTCCCTGCTGTCCGTGTTGCTGAGCTATGGTATGTGGTTGTTGCGGCAGAAAAAGGCAGCAGCTAGTCGGGGAAGAAGGCCGGGGGATCTCAGCACGGTGGGTGACACATCTTTGCGAAGCAGCTCGCTCTCCTTACTGCCCTCGTTCCCCGGTGGCTCAGGAGCGCCGGGTAGAGCGAAGCCGGCGGAAGCTCCGCTCTGTGAGGCAGGGGCAGAGCGCGGCTTCCCGCGGCCTCGGGAAGGAACCGCCCCGCTCTCTGCGGGGCTCGCCCGCCCTTTCGGTTTCGGTTCCACCGGAGCGGGCGGTGCTGCGGGAAACGAAACTTCGTGCGGCGCCAGGGTGGGCTGCACCGCTCCGGCTGCTGGAGCGGCGGGTCCTGGAGCATCTGCTGCGGCTCGCAGGTAAGCGGCGGGGAGGGCGGGCAGGGGATCCGGCGGGTCCCACCGAGCGGGGGGCTGCCTGCACCCCGGCGGGAGCGGCGCTAGCTCGAGGCGCTCGGCGGGCGGGAGCCAGAGTTCAGCTTTGGACAGTGAGGCTGAGCCTGCCCGTCATCGCGGTTAGAAGAGGTATGTTCAAGTGCCGCAAGGCTCCCCTCTCAAGGAAGCGATTCTAATTCTGGAGAAACGTAACTGATTATTCTACCCCCACAAAAATCAGTGAATGTTTCTGTCTTTTCCTGTCAAGATATCTGCTAAGAAATCTTCTCTAATCACTAAGTTCTCCGCTCTGCTTTCTAAAATTGTTATTCCAAGCAATGACTCTTCAAAAACTGTGGCAGATTAACCATTTGAATTAGACATTCGAATTAATTTTCTATGAACTTTGTTACTCGCACCAGTTTTCTATTTTACATCACAGCAGTGATCTACCAGGAGTAGGGGCTGTCTCTATGCTATGCCTAGAGGCACAGACAAATCTTTGATTGTTACTTTGCAGAATCTATTTGAGATTGCACCAAAATGGATCTTGAATGTATGGAGAAGATCAACCATTACTGTCAAATAAATAAACTTTCACTGCTTTATGACACTGCTGCGATGACTGGCCCATCTCATGATCCTGAGTAAGTTCACTATGCATGTCAATAACCAGAGGGGCTCTTCCTGTGATGAACAAACTGGACAAAGGTTGCAGTCATAATAGTTAATTTGCTGAAAGAATATATGCAGCAAGAGAGCTGATTGAAACCATAAATTGAGTGGTAGATGCATGGGGAGGACATTGTGTGATAGAGTTTGGGAAGAAAACTGATTTCAAAGATGATAGCTCTTTTTTCGTAAAGCAACAACAATGCACTTGTTACTAGTAATTATATTTTGAGTATGTTATGCATCTGCTATAAAATCTCTCAGGAGGCGGGTTGGTTTGCAGCATGTAGTTCAGTTTATGATCTATGCTAACTTAAGTACTTTGATTTCTCTTTAGTTTTACAAAGCGTTGTTGATGCCTAACCATAAAGGTTGAGTGTATATTAATTGATTGTGTACCAATGTGTTTGATGTGTAGTTTGTTTTTGAACATCTGTTCAGAAAAGAGAACAGAAAAGAAAAGGGTCTTTTACCTAAGAAGTTTTGTTTTCCCTTTAAGAGACAATTACAGGTGATGGAACATATTTTATTTTTTAACACAGATATAGTGTTTTGCTATTTTTTTGCTAGCCAAATATCGTAGATACTCAAGATCTATAGTGTTTCCTTGTGTGATTTCTTTATTTTTTTGCTAGTTTGCATGAAGACAAGCCTTATGCTAATAACTGATATGTGTCTTTTAATGTCTTGCATGTTGTAGATACCCAGCACTGTTTACACAGACTTATTCTTAGATCTGACTATAGTCCCAGAATAAATTAAAGAGTATTATCTGTGTCTCAAATGTTAATCAGTTATCTTAATTTTTTTCCCATGTGGCTCATGTAACTCAAAAAGTAACCTTTATTGCAGTAACAGCCACAGCTTTGGTCACAGAGCTACATTTTTGTGCTTCAAAAGTCGCAGCACGTGACTGACAGAATTTATACACATTCCAAATCTGTGCTTTTTCATATTTTTCTGTGTGCTCTGCTACATTCACAAATACAGTTCAGCCCATTGTGTAACAGTGGTATCTAGGAAAATCCTAGATAACCTGGCCTATTCCAAGGACACAATATAAAGTGTCTGGCTAGAGTGATGCCTGGTGTAAACCTCCTTCAGTGCCCTGGTGATGCTCTTTCCCAGTGCTCTGCCTGCTAATGGGATACACTGGCCACTGCTGGTACTGAGCTGGCTCCCTAACTCTTTTGTGCTGTGTTTTATCTCATGCAGTTGTTTGAGACATGGTGCTGAAATAGCTGGTGCTGTAGCTGCTTCCAGTACGATGTCTGACAGGGTCAGTGCTGAACACAGTTTAAGAAGGTTGAGAGAACCCAGGATGGCCCAGTCCTGACTGGCTGCAAGCTTTCTTAGGCTGGGAATGCAGTGTGTGTAAAACTAAGCCAGTCCTGCCTAAACCTAGCAAATCTGGGAATTGCTTATTATCTCAGGGTTCATGGTAAATAATTGTGACTGTACATTTGGAACCAGCTCGTGTAACGTTCATTCAGCTAATCCTCAACTCAGCTAATTAACTTGTTGGTCATTGACTGTACATTTCTTCAGGATGCTTAAACAAAAGGGTGAATTTTGGATGCAATATAATAACTGAATGTGTGTAGTATTCAGCATTTAGGTATGGGTTGACTAACAAACCCTTTCCTAAAGACTGATCTTTCTTTCATGTGTTTGTTTGTTCGTTTGTTTGTTTGCTGTTTCCTATGTGTAGAGTATGTGGCACACTATCACGTGCCTTGTCCTACTGTTTGTCTCCTTAAGGTTTCTTGTTAAGCCTTGTTTACACAATGAGTGCAAGCACTATTCTGCATGTGCATTTCTTTCCACGCAAACATTTCATTAAGGGGAAATGGAGAATTAAATTTGGGAATAATGGAATAAGTGAATTCCTAAAGTCATTCCACTATTTGAGACAAATTATCCCACGGAGAAGCTTATGGTGTTATACCTGGACTGTTTTGTTGTGCGAATCCATCTTGTTGGCTTTGAGCATCTATATGTTCCACTGCACTCTGAAGACTGACTTACCCTGAGGCTCTAACGGTCACTTTAACTTGTTGCAAGTTTGTGCTGCTGCCAAAGGCAGAAATCTAGTCATTTCATCCTCTGTTGCCTTTTGTGCAAAGGCAGTAGCAGAAACATTAGGGAATTTGCAGCTGCAGGACAGGTTGGATCCGGATAAGGACTGATTTATCTGAATCCAACCATTTCTTATTAGGGCACTGTGGGGGATTGACCTCAGGCAGCAGCAAAACTCCCAGCCAGCCACTCACTCACTTCCCCCCAGTGGGACAGGGAGGAGAATCAGAAAGCTGAGAGGGAGAAAAACTTGTGGATCAAGATAAAGACAGTTTAACAGATGAAGCAAAGCTATATGTGTGACCAAAGCAAAATAATGAATTTGCTTACTGCTTCCCATCAGCGGGCAGATATTTAGCTCTTTCCATGTAAGTGGGGCATCATGCCCAATGGTTACTTGGGAAGGTAAACACTATAACCTCAAATGTTGCCTCTTCCTCCATCTCCAAGCTTTTATTGCTGAATGTGATGCCATATGGCATGTAATATCCATCTGGTCAGCTGCCTTGGTTGTGTCTTTTCCCAGCTTCTTACACATCCCCCCCACTTACTGGAAGGCCAGAGTGGGGAAAAAAAGAAAAAGATCTGGTGCTGTGCAAACAGTGTTCAGCAATAGGTAAAACACTGTTATCAACCTTGTTTTAGTCCCATATCTACAACATACCACCATCCCAGCCAGATCCACTATAGTTAGTCCTGAGCTGCATCAGACCCCCATTTTGACTCATGGAGTTGCTGTATGGGAAGCAGCACGTGCGCAGTTGTGCGATGGAGGGATGGAGCAGGAAGGGATCGGGAGCTGAGTGTGGAGGGGCATGACTGGGTGGTGGGTTTTTGTTTGTTTTCTTTGGTTTTTTTTTTTGTTTGTTTGTTTTTCTTTGTTTTGTTTGCATTTTTTTTGCTTGTTTGTTGTTTGTGGCTGTCTTTAAATTCATCTCTTGCAAAGCACCAGATAGTTTTTGCACTTACTAAGTAGTGTACATTACAGGGTATTAAAAGTGAATGCAATGTCACATCTGGTTTCATGAAATCAAGATTAGCTAATCTTTCCTCTCTGTATAGTTTTGCAGTGCTGAGATGTGTCCTGGTGTTAGGGCCTCACAACTTTTCTTGTAAAAATACTGACCTCATGCACTCTCTTGCTTTTAAAAATTTAAATAATTTTGCTTTTAAAAAGCAGCTAAGCAGTTAAACGTGCTGTTAGAACTAATGAAGTACATGCATTTGTGACTAGGGGGGAAACACTTTAATATATGTATACTAAAGAATTATGATGACCAGGAGTTGGATATAAAAAACCCACAGAAATAGTTCAATACCTCACAGTATATTATTGTAGATAATAAAACCAAAGTTTAATCTGAGAGGGTTATTAAGTTTCCTTCATTGCAGGTTCACAATTGTGGTCAAACTAAATGATGTGGAATATGGTACAGGCACTGGTAAAAGTAAGAAAGAAGCAAAAAGAGTAGCAGCAAAAAAAACGTGGGAAATGATTGAGAAACAGGTGAGTAAATAGCAGAAGTAAGTTTTGTTTGTTTTTTTTTTTGGCTAGTAAAGGTTTCAGATGAATGTCTCAAAGTAGACTATCAATAAAATGTCATTTTTTTCTTTAATTCGGAAAAGTTTCCAATTACTTAAGTTATCTTTGTTCTGTCTTATTCAGCACTTTTCTACCTTTTACCACTGAATTATTTTTCTTATTATTCTACTACAGGGTTGATATGTAGTATTGTGAGTGTTTCCTCCTCTGTTGTTATAAGAGGATGAGGAAATGTATTTGCCTTTGTTAAGCTGCCTTGGTGTATCCAGAGGGGACAGTGGTCCTTTTTCATCTAGACAACCGTTCAGTAATTCAATGTCCTCAACACATTTGCAGGGCATTGCCCAGTATGTCTGTCGCCACTTCACTAATGAAATTGCTTCCTTTCACTTGCTCTGATTCATCCTTATTTCCTTGTCATTATATTCTTTATGTTTTAACTGGTTATATACTCTATCCTTGATTAAGCTGAGGTTTGAATTTTGCTCCCCAATGTTCTGCCAAGTGTTTTGTGATAGCCATTCTTTTATTTTTGACTCTGAATGCTTCTTAGCACTTTTTGAGAGAAATCTTTCCTTACCTGTTTACCTGTGGTTTTTATTGTGTCACCATCATTACTTTAACACAATTGCAGCATGTTTGCTAATATATTAATGATGCTGCTTAATCATGAGACAGCTGAAAAGTCCTGCTTTCTCCTCTTGTGCATGCACAGGAGCATTTGCAACCTTTGCTAAATGGCAGCATCCTGATGCTATCCCTTCTTCACAGCTCATACCCTGTCTTTTCCTAAAAGAAGTGGGATGAGACATGGTGAGAGGTTGTTAATGACATAGGTATAGTACTTGCAAAACTGGATTTACATTTCTTTCAGAAAGTAATATTTTAGGGTTAGGATGTTTGTCCTTGGCCACAAGGGACTCCATGAATGCCAACCTGGGATTTCTTACGAGTATTTTGAAAAGCCGAGAAAACTCGCAGCTATATTAGATCTTGGGCATTGTTTATCTTAATGTATTTATTAAGCTTAAGTTTTTAAGTTACCTATTTTGTTTGCAGAGTCCTTCAAGTATGGGTGCTGCAGAATCAGCAACAACTCAAACAATCTCATCACCTGAACCAGACAGAGACTATGTCAGTCTACTGAATATTTTTGCACAAAGGACACGGCTACAGGTTGATTATCCTGAAAGAACTCGTACTGGAGATGCCCATGCTCCTATGTAAGACGTACTTTGTCTTCCTACTTCCTTCTAAGTCTTTGTTGTATTTACTAATGCTACCATTAGTTGTCTTCAGCCATGTTAGATGAATCTTTAGAAATACAAATTCAGAGCTGGTCTGGAGAGAATCCAGTGGAGGGCCATTCGGGTGGTTAAGGGATTGGAGGATATGCCATAGGAGGAGAGGCTAAGAGGACTGAGTTTGTTTAGCAGGAGAAGAGATTGCATGATGATAAAATGGTAGTCAGTGCTGAAAATCATCAGTTTTCTTGGCTGTAGCTCTGGCAACTTTGTGAACCTCTGGGTGTGTGTCTTGGAGACTTCTAGGAATCAAGTGCCAAGGAGCCTGTTTGTGTCTCTTTGTGTATGTATTGCAGTCAGTGAGTTGTAGAAATGTTCCAGTTAATGACAGGTGCAGAATGATAAAGAATATCTACATATTTTAAGTCTCCTGATAATATCTGCTGGAAAATTTGTCCTCTCTTATCTTGCAAAATCAGCCATTTTAAAACCTAAACTGCAGATAATTTGTGACAGAGAGTGTGTATGATATATTGCTTTGAGAAGCTCAGCCTTAAAAAGTGCTAAATAGTCACTCTCCAAAAGTGAGTTATCTTAAAGGCACATCAAATTAATTGTCTACCATTATTACTTAGATGAAATGTATATTGGGAATACTGTCCTGAAGATGTATATTTCAGATTTCCATTTTATGATGTCAGTTGACTATAGTGTTTAAAATCATTAAATTAAGACTTGTCATATGGGATATAAGACTTCATTCCTTTTTGTATTTGACAGATTTTCTTGTAGCTGTACAATTAGTGGTCAGGTGTATGGAAGGGGCACTGGATCTACTGTAGCTGCTGCAAAACAAGCTGCTGCAAAACAAGCATTTGAGAAGGTAAATAAGAAAGGCTCTCTAACAGTATGTGCTATATTTACTCTTAAGACAAAAGTTTAAATCTTGTATCTTTAATCTTTGAACAAATATCCTCATTGTATTTAAAAGCATATTCCATGGATTCCACTAAAGAGGGAAACCACCTATATTTTGGTGTGTTGTCTGGGCTGCAGGATTCTGTTGGTAGAATTTGTTGTGTTTATCTATTCAATTGCTGGATTAAAAAAAATCTAGCAGTTGATATCTCTCTGTATTTCAGAATACAGTCTCGTATGTTGTCATTCAGGGATCCATACATATTAAAAATTTGTAAATCCCGACTAATGTACCGGTTGTCTTCTGTGTGAAGTGCTATTGAGCTGTCTGGCTATGAACATAAGTCTCTTACTGCCTCCTATTGGATCACAAATCTATTGTGAAATGTGAGAAAAGCAAAAGCAGGAATCAGAATCAACAGGATTTGCCTTCTGTAGTGTTCCAAGGCAGAGTGTAGCGAATCAATTGCTGACATCATCCTCTGGAGAGCAGAGCTGTTGTCTTCATGCTGGCAATTGTTATTTCCACATGTGCAAAAAATTTATCAGAATTCCCATACTGATTCAAACCCACTTCTGAAATGCACAGAATATATGAACTAACTTAAATGAAGTGTAGTTTAACTTGAAGGATGGCAGTGTGGGGGAGGGAAAAAATCTTTTTAAAGCACTTTTTAAATTATTTGGCAGTTACTGTGAATTTTCAATCCTTCTTTTATTGTTGTTTTTAAGTTAACCATGTAATTAATGGCCTGTTATATTTCTAGGATTCTTTCTTAATATTTCCATGTGTTGCAAGCTCATGGACCTTTGCATTTTCATCAAATTTAGTACCTCAAGCAGAACTCCTGTACCAATTAGTGTAAATTTGGGGTGGGTTGCTTTGGTTTGATTTTGATTTTTATTAATTCTCAGTGATGTCTGTGTAACAAACAAAATGTAACTGGCAAAAAGTAGTAAAAGTCCAATACTCCCAAATTAAAAAAATGGGATTTGTTTGTTGGCTATCATTGAAACATAAAGCCTGTGTTTTTGTTTCCCTGATACTATGATGGAAAACCATGAAACAAACAAAAAAAATTGTTTACTTTTTGTCAGGTTATGGTCTGTATCAATTGTAGGTGTTGCTTTTAATGTTATTTTTATGCTCTTAGGACACAGGTGGAGGGAGGAAGTGAAAGAACCTCTAATAAGTGTTTGGGATATTTTTTTGTTTTGTAGTTAACCTCAACTCAGTTTTACAGATTTTGCAGTGTTTTCATGCTGAAGACATTGAATGTCAATTTGTGCTCAGATTTTCAGTTCTGTTGATTACATTTATCAAAGCCTGCATATATCACATAGGCATATGCATATGCAACAAACAATGAAAACATTTGCTTTTCATCTTTTACTCTTGCCCTGGTTTTAAACAGAATCCAGACTCTACTTCTGTAAATGTGTCTGTATAGTATGATCACTGTGACAGAGCCCTGTGTTTCCTCTCTCTGAGTGGAAATTGGGTAGATGCCTTTCTTCTTCAGGGCTTTGAATGTTCAGTGCAGTTAAAAACTTCCACTAAGAACCTTGTAATCTTCCCTCTCCGCTCTCTGAATGGCAACTTTTGGACTAGGGATTTGCTTATGTGATTTTGTTAGACATTTTTGGCTTTTCTTTTTTTTCAGGTGGAAACTGAAAAATCTAATGGCAATTCAATACTTAGCATACATAGTGATTCCTCTGAAGTGCCAACTCAGTCTGATTCGAAGTAAGTTGGGTTCACTGCTGATGTGATAACAAAATGTATTTATTAATCATCTTAGAGGGTTGTGTGATCTAATTCCAAATAAAATATGTCATAGTTTGCTTTATTGCAGTATAAAGCCATTTAATTTGAATTTATATTCCTTCAACTTCAGAGCAACATTTATTGTACTCATGCAATTTTATTTGAGTCCATATGGGTGAACTTATAAGAATTTTAGAGCTTTCTGATATATTTATATTTTGCCATGAGTAGTTCTTTCAGAATAATTTTTACTGTGATGTAAATGTATTAACCTACCTCATTCAGTAGCATTATTTCATGCTGTTTTGACACTCATTTTCCTATTGTGACACAATTGTGAACTCAGTATAATTCAATTTCAGTACTTTCCTGTGCTCCATATTCTGCTTCCTTCTCTCCCCTTTTAGTTTTTTTTTGGTTTTTTTTTTTTTTTTTTTTTTTTGTTTGGTTTTTTTTTGTTTTTTTAAATCTTAATTTCCACCAAAGGGAAAAAATTTGCTTAGCGAGAGAAAATGAACATACATAAAGTTTCATTTGTGATTTGGAAACCTTAGGTCAAGCCTTTTGTGTCCAGTGGTTTGGCTGTAGTGCCACTACTCCTTCTTTTATGTTCTTTGTACATATCTGATTGCTTTATAGTTGCACAATGTTAGACGTGGTTGTACTACCTTGAAATAAATATCTGTATTTAACCTATTAAAGAATATAATAGAATATATAACTTATGGATATTTAGATGTCATAGAATCTTATAACATAGAAATATAGGAGTATATTACAAAGTGATGTTACTTCAGTAGGTTTCCAGCAGGAAGTTTGGTAGTTTAAATCGGTCATGATTGTTAATACTTTCTTACGTTTCGCTTTTAAAAAACTATGTAAATGTTGGTACTACTTCTTTTCTTGTGGCAGTTTTATTTATGATTGTGTTACTTTCACCTAAAAATAGTCCACTATTTTTCAATAAAGCAGTATTTCCTTTGAAGACTCAGCTCCAATGTTGGTAGAAAAAATGAAAGACATGGCAGTATGTGAAAAGCTTTCACCTTCTCAGGTATAGTATGAAAATGGTCTTCCTCCTAATTACATTTTAGACCATGAATAGGGCAAGCTTCTTGTCAGAATATAATGTCAGTTTGTTCTTTTATCCTTTAATCACTAGAAAACACATGCACATTTTTCCTAAAAATATTCAGTACATTCTTACTGTTAACCATTAGTCATTTGCTTCTGTACTGTGGACTCAGTTCATGTACTGCTGAAGAAATGGGCAGTACTCCCAAGAAAGAGGATCAAACTAAGCTCAATTTCTTCTGTGGGAACAATGATAAAAGTTATGCATAGCATATGTGAAAAAGTTAAAGCTGAGATATGGCTTCATTCTTATTACATTGTTTACCTAAGGTATGAACACATTTATAGGCAATTCCTAGATACATTCTCAGACACATTTTAAGCCAACTGTAGTGAAAATATTCAGGGTATCTCAGTTAGGCTTTTTTCTCTTTTCCATACAGAGAAATGCACAGAGTTCTGCCCTGAAGTCCAAAAGGTATGTGTTTATTTCTAGGTATGTGTTTATTGCTATCTCCTGTAAACTATATTGCAAATCACTTTAGTGTTTCTGTATCTAGTAAAGAAATGTCACTATTGGGAGGTACATTTCTTTTCTTGTCACATGTTAGAAAAATGGCTCATTATAAGTAATTTTCCTTTTATCCTTTTTACAGAAAATTGGCAGCTAATTTTCCTAACGTAAGAAAAGAGGAAGAGAACAAAAATATGTCAGATTCAGATGAAAGTTTGCCGGATGTGGACACGAATACCAGAAAAGGGAATGGAAATCCACACACTGTTGATAAAACGTAAGAAGGATTTGTTTTTTTAATAATATTTGTATGGCAATTACAGTATGTAGGGATCTAGATTTGTTCCTTTATTTATGATACAAGGAGGGAAAATACTGCTGTAAAAAGAACTTTCAAAGAAAATTGGTGTTTGATTTTTTTTCTTTTTCCCCCTGGAAATTTTGAAACTGGCATGCAATGGTATTTAATACTCATGGCCAAACATCATTTGTATGAAGATGTGAGAGGGTAATTACCCAACGTACTTGCAAGGGTCAGTTTCCCTTGTTTGTTTAATCTTCCAGACTATGATTTAGAACTATAGATTTGTCAAGTGATTCCTGTAGAATGATACATCCTGTAGATGTATTGTATCTGTCAGGATTATTTTTATATCCTGTAAATTTAATATTAAACATAATTGTGCTTTATTTTTTTTTAAGATTTCTTGGTAATTTTAAAAATATAGAGCCTATTGGTGAAGGTGGTTTTGGGAATGTTTTCAAGGCAACATCAAAGTGCGATAAGACAACCTATGCAATCAAACGAGTTGAATTCACAAAGTACGTACTGTATATTTACTTCTGCTTTTTATTTTAGGACGACCTTAATCAATATTTTAATACTTTATTTTCTCTCTTTAACAATCCTAGGAGCATTTAAGCAATTTTCATTATTAATTGTCTATTCTTTCTGGAAAACCGTTTTCTTTATTTCTAAGTGACGCAAAAAATGGGATACAACTTTGTTAATTTTTGCGTGTACTGGGATAATTCTGCTGGAGCTGTAAAACTGTAGATTGGTTAAGTTCTACTTTCCCTGAACACACTAGTGCTCTGGTTGTTAATACTGAAAATGTGTTTGAAGAAAATTTGCTGTTTAGTAAAACATTGAAAACAGCACTGTTACTTTTGATATGTCACATGGAAAATTTACACATTGGTAATGCATAACAACTACAATTAGGGAAAATAGAGAAAAATCCAAGTAATAAGTTTTGTGGTTTGTAGTTGGAAAATGTTTTATATACTATCCATGTAGTCATTATTCTCACACTGTGTTACTTGTTCTTTATAAATCTCAACAGAGAATGATGATCTTAATTTTTTAAGGTAATTATTTGTAACTAGTATCAAGTGGAATATTTTATCAGCAGCTGAAAAAATTAATCTCTTTTAGGCAATCCATTGAAAAAAATTTCAAGTTGTTGGAGATACTTGTCCTTAAATTGTGTGATGTGTACACTTCCCTTCAGATTCTTGTGTTCTTTGCAAATATATGTTATTTTAATTGGTATTTCAATCCTGAGAACTATACTAAAAACGTTCAACTGATTCTTCAAGTGACGACTGCTGGTCTGCTTATGAGTTTGAACTTGCTTCACTGGGTAACGTTACAACAACTACTGCAGGGCTAATTTAGTAGTAGTTCTTCATGAGTATTTATACTGACTTCTCTCTATATAGACAAACTTCATAGAGGTAAAAACAAAACATGGTTGTTTGCTATATTGTGTTTTGTGACCTAATGTTATACATTGCAACTATCTGCTTTTTTTGAGTGGAGATTTAATTTCTAATATAGTGAAAACATTTTTGCACTTTGAATAACTGAGCAGATGAAAGAAAACCCACTGAATTTCTCACTGATTTTGAACTTTGAACCTTTGTGAAGGCAAATAATATGCTTTGTTTCTAAATTAATGTAAAACTGTCTGTATACTGCTACTTGATATTGTGTCTTTTATTTAACTTACTATTACATTGTAATAGAGAAATGCCTTTTTTTTTTTTTTAAATTCCTTCCTCTCCTCGTAATAGGAATGTAAGACGTGAAGCAGAAGGACTTGCAAGACTTACACATGAAAACATAGTGCGGTATCATTGCAGCTGGAAAGGGTACGACCATATAACTAGTCGAGATGCAAGGTAACAACAAAATAGTAGTTTGAACTCACAAACTTGTTTGTCATAGCGAATTTTATGTTGTAAAATGAAAGGCTGATGATTGGTTACCAGTTATTGTACAAGTATAAATGCATACACATGCTTATATACTTACTGCTAGGAAAAAAGGCACAGTACTTTCCAGCAGCAGGCTGTATAAAATTAAGTATATTTATACCTTCTTTTAATTGATTAATAAGATACAATTTATAATGTTATATTTCTCTTCTCTCTTAACATATGGAACTTAGTGAATATATAGAGGAGAGTATAGAATGCAGAATTCAAAATTTGGGGCAAGAATTAACAACAGAAACTAAAAGACTGTTTGACAGCTGGCTGCCTAATTCCCAATCAGAAGCTTCCTTTTTGTAATAAGTACTGGTCAGCCAATAACTCTTATAGATTTAATTATTTCTCTTAAGTTAGCATTTTAGCCATGATGCCTGTAACAGTTTTGGTTGTTTAGAACAGAAGTACAAAATGAAATGCTCTTTAATTTAGAGGTAGTCTTTCAACACTAAGACTTCTGGGAAGACTGTGGTGAGAGTTTTACTTTTAAGTTAGACTATTAACTTTACAAAGCTTCTGTGGGAAGCTTTTTTTCACTAGCTGTAAATTCATACCCTTCAGATGTGTTGCCATATTTACCTGGAGCCATAAAATATTAATGCATTCAAAATTATGATTAGCATAATATCTCTCCAGTGTGCTCAGTAAATGAGAAATAAAAGGGAGGAAAAAAGTCTCATGTCAAAACCCAATTATTAATGTGTTGGAGCCTCAATGTCATGTATGTATTTTACATTGAACAGTTATTGTGTCAAAGACAGAAAAAAATAGTACTCAGAGCTAAGGTCCCAGCCTGGAATTAGTACCCTGACCTCAAGGCTACAGAGTCCTGAGCCACCTAATGTTTGTTCTTTCAGTGCCTCAGGCAGCTATATTCCAGGGTACTCAGACCACGCAGTGCACATAGGAAAGAAGTGGTGCCTGCTCCTCTTCATATTGTCCTTCCCCTTACCAGCTCCAGCCTATCCCATGGGCTGATAGTGAGGGAACTCTTCTGGAAAGTGTGAGGCTGTCAGGGGGCGAATATCTTTCATCTAGATTTCCAGCTCTTGGAAGGGTTTCTCTAGCAGTTTGATGTCAAAGATGGTCCCGGCACTACGTTCTTGACAGAACAGAGTTGGAAAGAATGTGATCATTCTGGGTTGGAGAGGAAGGCTGGCTGATACTGTGTTTGTTGTGTGGAATAGAGAATATCTGCCAGGGACTTGCAGCAGTTCCTACACGCCAAGATGGGAGCCAAGGACAGTGCTATTTCTTCCTATATAAGACATGCCTCTAGGTATGAGTGAAATAGAACTTGGGCACTCTGAAAAATTTCAGTGTGAACTAGGAAGCAAGCAAAACATTAGGAGTATTCCAGGGGTAGGTAGGAACTGAGCAGGGATTCTTTGGTTTGCAGTCCTATTTATTTATATCTAATCCATATTGGTCTAGGGTCTTTTTTAAAATTAAAGGGCTTGCAGATTTTGTTTTGGGGAACTCTAAAAATAATTATTAACAAAAAGGCTTTTTTAAAGAAGAGGAATCTGAAGATCACTGATGACTTAGCAACAATTTTATCTTGCCAATTTTAATATGCTATGTAATTTTCTTTTGAAGCCTGAATTCAGACAAAACAACTCGCTGTCTTTTCATCCAAATGGAATTCTGTGAAAAAGGGACCTTGGAAAAATGGATTGGAGAGAATAGAGAACACCAAAACTATCATGAAATGGCACAAAACAAATTTTTACAAATAATGAAAGGAGTGGAATATATTCATTCTGAAAAGTTAATTCATCGAGACCTCAAGGTAAGTAGGATGGGTAATTAAAAAAAAAACAAACCTGAAAAAAAAAGATACTACTTATTGGAATTTTAAAAAAATGTTAAATTGTTATAGTCTTTGTTCACTCTGTTATGTACCCTAGTATTGTGCCTCTTCAGATATCGCTAGTGATTAATTCTTTTTCTGCAACTGGCTGAACCTCAGCCTAAAATCAAAAGGTAAACTGGAGGATCTTGGAATGCAATAGTTCAAAAAATCAGTAGTCCTCAGTTAACAGGCACTTGCAGTGTGTTACTGGGTCACAAGACTGCATATGGGAAAAAGAAAAGTCTAGGAAGTTTGCTCTTGCCATTTTGTAAAGGGACAGGTTTATCTGTGCTGTCCTCAGTAACAACATACTCCAGTTGCTTTTGTCCATGTATGCATATAAATATTTGAATGCTACAGTTATGGATAGAATTTCATTCTCTACATGTGCATCTTCATAAGAAGATTTTATTTCAATATAAAGATTATAAAGGACAAAGCCTTCAGGGCTTTAATATGGCATATCCCAGAATCAAAGCTGCAGGATAGGTTCAAGCTGATATTTGTGCCTGGTAGGACATAATTTGTGCCTGGTAGGAACAGAGCCTTTAAATAGTGTAACCAGGTATAGGTACTGTATTAAATATGTGTGGGCGTGCTTGAACTTGAACAGAACAACTGCATTGGGCATTCTTCACACAAAGATTTCTTCCTGTTGAATATTAAGTATCTCCTGGCCTTACGGTCCACTGGAGACTCTTTGAGTAAAAGATAGCATGAGGCTATTTGGTTTTGTTTTAAAAACATTCCAAAGTGTAGTTTCTTGATCTTCTTCGGGAAACTTCGTTGAAACATATACAGTTCTATTTTTAGTTGTTTATCATTTTGTGTTCTGGTTTAGGCTGGGATGGAGTTAATATTTTTTCAGTAGGTGGTACAGTGCTGTGTTCTGGAATCAGGATGAGAATGATGTTGATAACCTAGCCAGGACAAGTGACCCAAACTGCCCAACAGGATATTCCACACCATAGAATGTCATGCCAAGTATATGAACTGGGGGAGGTGGAAGAGGGGCCGATCTGGGTTTGTGGAAAGGGTCTGGCATCAGTCAACAGATAGTGAGCAATTGCATTGTGCATCACTTGTTTTTCCTTGTTTTATTTTGGCTTTGTATCCTATTACTATCACTATTATTATTTACTATAATAATTATTATGTTTTACTTTTGTTTCCATAATTAAACTGTTCTTAACACAATCTAAAAGCTTTACTTTTGATTCTCTCCCTCATTCCACTGTGGGCATGGGGAGTGAGTGAGCAGCTGCGTGGTGCTTAGTTGCCAACTGGGTGTAAGCCATGACACTTTGTCAAATTTAAAAAAGGGAAGTTCAGTGGAAATGTAAAAGTGATACTCCGAGACACCTGTAGTAAGCCTTAACTCTGCAACTGACTTAGTACAGATGATCCTGCTGTGCCTAGGAGAAACCCTGATTAGAGTGGAATGCCATTAGTGAGCCTAAACACTTTTCCAAGTGTATCAAATCCCAGGGCTAGGACTGAAGACTGAAAAGCACTTCTGGATATAAAATGTTATATGCATGATGTATTTGAAGAGCATTAAATGATACTTAAGACTGAGCTAGTGGAAAAAAGGGTGCAGGTACTCCAGAATATACTACTTGAAATTTAGTTTGTGGTTTTGAAACTTAATTTAACTTTTTTCTGTTTCCCACCCCATCAGTTTCCTAATGCTGTTTTCTATGAACAGTTATCAAATTTTATGGGGAACACTTCTGTGGCTGATTATGCTTGATGATAAACCTTGCTCATATGGTGGTTTTTTTGTTTGTTTTTTTTTTTAATATTAATATATATAGCCTCCGAATATATTCATATCACATGATGATAAAATAAAAATAGGTGACTTTGGTCTTGTGACTCCTGTGGCATATGAGACTCTGACTAAGAACATAGGAACAAAATCATATATGGCACCAGAACAGGTAATTATCCTGCTATATTAGTGTCTCTGTAATTAGATTTGAACTATAAAGTCAGCACTGGATGTTCTAAATCCTAATCTCAGTATTAAAGCAAGTTGCCTAAAGTTCCCTGGTATGACTGTATATGAGGATAACTGTATTCTGGAGAAAGCTGTCTGCCTGTGTGGTAGTGTTTTTTTCTCTGGGCTAACCTACAGTCTGACACTGCATGCTGTAAGGAATGCTTTTGCAGAACCAGGCTGCCAGGCATATGTACTTAAATTTTAATTTAGGACCTCTGTTAACTGTGGCATTTGAGTCCTTCTGTTTGTTTCATTATTTGTCACAGGGCAATATTGGCATGCTTTATCTATATAGGTTTGTAGAAGTAAATTTCTGTGTGTTTAAGGCGATACAATAGTCACTACTTAGGTCTGTGCAGGAAGTGTTAATGACTTATAAGGATATTGAGTAGGGCCAGTCCTGTAGCATTGGGGTGGAAATTTCTGCTGACTTCAAATTTTGCTTTAGGAAGTGCTGCTGTACAGTTGGATTTGATGCTTTTATTGTTCTGGTTCTTATCTTTCTAGTTCGGTGACAGATATGGAAAGGAAGTAGATATTTATGCACTGGGACTAATTTGGTTTGAAATTCTTTCAGCACTTACTAATCATGAGAAAAATGAGGTATGTAATCTTTAAATTTAAAAAAGAACTCCGATATTGTTTTGCCTTGCTGCTGATCACATGTTGATTGCACACTAGAAGGAATCTGTGTATCTAGAGTCTCCATTTACATTTCCCCCCTTAATTCATTTCCATAAGGCCTGTGAGTCCTCACACCTTAGTTGAAATGTCATAACTGAAGAAATATTACAGTTTATTTCTCCTGTGTCCTATTACCTATACATTAAAGCCTGAGCATGCTAAAGACTAATGTCAAGCTAAAAAATATATTGTTTCTTATAAATCTTTCTGTTTGATCAGAAACTTGAAGCAGGTGTTTTCTAATTTTAGAAAATAAAAATTATGAATGGGTGAGTTTTGTCTCTGCCATGCTTGTCTTCACTGCACAGTGGAGTAAGAACAAGGTTTCCACCAAGGCAAAACACTTGCAGTGTTTCAAAATGAAAATGAAAGTGATTTGGAATAAGTAGCTTTAAGTGAAAAAGATGTTACTTCAAAAAGAAACTCAGTGTTACTTAAGCTTTTTTTTTGAAAAGGTATCTTTTACGCATCTTGAGTTTTCTATTGCTACTTTGTACATTATTATTGTTACAGCTCATATGCACAAACCTAAATGTTTGTAGGACAGTGATGTAGCTGCTGGGTGTCTTGTCTAAAGTAACAGTGGTCAGAACAAGAAGGCTTTGAACACTGTTAGCCAGATCCTTTTACCAGTATGAGAAAATCATACCAGCGTGTCTTTTCAAGCTGGTTCTATTCAGCCACCTTGCAGTACCTCCTAAGATACTTTGTTCCTGCTCACAGCTGACTGCAAATGCATGCACAGTTCCATGGTATTTAGAGTTGGAAAGGCATTATTTATTATTTCCCTAAGTATCAAAATCTTGAGCATTGTAAGCAGCTATGTGGATGGAAAGTCTAGGATGGTCTTCAGCTGCTCCATTACCTTAGAAAGTAATTTCACTTAATGGAGCATGATAAACTTTCAGCTGGCAAGTCCTGCTAAAAGAACATCATGTTGATGATTACTTTGTGTTGAGTAACTGGTTCAGCTGATGATCCCCAGCAGGTAGGGTCACAGGCTTAAAGCTACTGCTGAAGAGTAGGGAAAAAGCCTGGAAGTTCACGGGAGCTGTTGTTTTACTGGATACTGGTTGTAAGGGCTTGGTACATCAGGGTCATAGGATCCATAAGTCTAGCTAATGATTCAGGATGCATAGCTAAGTGTAAGAACACAACTGTCATCTTCAGGCAGACATTACACTAGTTAACAACAAATGAATTGAGTAGACTGCTCTTTTTACCCAGGAAGCTACATCATGGCAGAATCACAAAATGGGTAAGGTTGGAAGGGACCATTACAGTTCACCTAGTCCAACCTATCTGCTCAAGCAGGGTCTCCTCCTAGAGCATGTTACTTGGGCTTATGTTCATAATATCTCCAGTGAGGGAGACTCCAGAACCGCTCTGAGTAATCTGTATTGGTGCTTGGTCATCTGCACAGTAAAGAAATTCTTTCCTCATGTTCATGTGGAATTTCCTGTGCATCAGTTTCTGCCTGCTGCCTCTTGTCCTATTGCTCAGCACCACCGAGAAGAAACTGGCTCCATTCTCTTGACACCCTCCCTTTAGATACTTATAGACAGGTCAGCACTCAGCCTGTACCGGTGTCTGGGGTTATTCCTCCCAGGCGCAGAACCCTGAATTTGCCTTTGTTGAATTTTAGAAGGTTCTTCCCTGCCCATCTCTCCAACATGTCAAGGTCCTTCTGAAGGGCTGCACAGCCCTCGGGGGTATTGGCCACTCCCTCCAGCTTTGTGTCATCAGCGACCTTGCCGAGGAGGAGACATCTGCCCCTCCATCCCACTCACTGATGAACAAGTTAAACAATACTGGACCCAGTATCCACTTTTGGGGGACTAGTCCCTGTAGTCCCCCAACTAGACCCTCTGCCACTGTGCACTATACTGTGGAATCTGCTGTTTAGCCAGCTGTCAATCCACCTCACCATCCACTCATCCCGCCTGCAATTCCCGAGCTTGCCTCTGAGGATGTTGGGAGAGACAGTGTCGTACAGGAAAAAAAAAAAAAGTCACTCAAACCCGGTTTCTAAAGCATGTAATTAGAAATCCTCTACATGTTAGCTGCTTTGAACTCCACATAGCATTTTTGGCAGTGACATACTTCAGTTCAGTGTGTGGTACTGAACATGGAAGCACACCTGCTTGGCTTGCAAACAGTAACATCCAAAGTAGGAAATTCAGTTGTCTTGCTTTTTTCTTTTCTTTCAATGTGGTTAGATGATATAAATCCACTACTTTTAAATTAGGGAAAAAAGGATAATGGTTCTGAAATAGAGAGGACTGCTGAAACAAACACATCATTGTAGAGTGCAAAGCTTTTAAGCTTAGAAAGGAACAATAGTTGATGAAAAGTCCATAAAACCAAAACAATGTACAACTAAATGGAAGAAACTTTCAAACTGTTTACAGTTACGTTTTGAAGACTTACTTTCTTGTAGATTTGTGGTTTCCTAATTACTTCAGTAAACTATATGGGTCATAAGGTAGACATGTAAAATATAATCAAAGAAAGCATACTAAAACTGTTCGCTTTTATGAATTTCAGGTATGGCCTTCTGTTAGAGAAGGTCATTTTCCAAAGAGTTTCACCAATCAATTTCCACCAAAGGTATGGGATTTTAATAAATTATTTTCATTACTTTATTTACTAAAAAACCACAAAAAATAATCTATTGACATATAAATTTTTTTGCAGGCATCCATAATCAAAAAGATGCTTTCAACAGACCCTTCCAAGAGACCCTCTGCAACTCGAATACTTGATCTTGTTAAGTCTGTTGATAAAGAGAAGTCACTTAAAAATCATACTTGTTAAATAAGCCCTTTTAAAAGGCTTTCAGACTGTGTTTAAATCCAGAGTTTCATGGATTTATTGAAACTGACAAAATAACAATAGATGTAAGAAGCAACAGCAAGACTTGGGGTACGTCTTCTCCTTGGTGCTTTGCCTTCCTGCCATTGTCGAGTCTGTCAGCTCGAAGGTGCAACCAGACGTGCCTGTCTCGTACTGGCCTTTTCAGCCACCAACGCGCTTGCAACAAACGTGGGTAGAGCCCTTCCCAAATCTTCGTTCGTGAAGCCCAGCCATGACATGACATGACAGCTTGAAGGCCACATCACCATTCATGTCCATTGGCTGCAGACCAGAACTGGATACTTCTGCAAGAAATCACTTGCAATTTTTACCTGAAAATACAAGCTGTGGATAAGCTGAACTGTATTCTACAAATAAGTAAAAGAAGCTAGTCCTTTTCTGTTAGAAGATTATGTGGATGGGCTTAAGTGCTAACTGGCCTGTGGCAAATCCCTGGATGTGGTGCTGCATCCAGTATTCTTTGAGGTTATCTGTTGCTTTCCATGGAAGAAGTGCTGTCTTCTGGTATGTGACTCAAACCTTTCTGATTTTTCAGTGATACTTTTAATAATTACTGGAATGCTCCCATTAAAACTAAGACTAGTTTTGGTAGAAAAGATACTAGGAATAGGCACGGGTTATTCTTCACTGAATTTCAGTACTGTAAGGTGAGCTTTCTTATCTGTTTACATCTGTTGATGACCTAGCACCTTCAGTGCTCTGAAATTTAATAAGATATACTTTTAAAGTAAGCATTTATTAAGAATTTAAATGTTAAATGTTCAGCTTCTAGGAAATCTACTTGAGAAAGTTCTAAACTTCTGAAGAACTTGGGTTTTGATGGTTTGGTTTGTTTTTATTTTTTTGAAAGGAACACTTAAGGTGCTATTAATAGCAAAATTCTCCAGTTTCCTCAGTAGGAATCATTTGGAGTCCTATGCTGAGAGAGCACTTTTAACATTCCTTCCTATGCTGCTAGGTTTTAATCCCTATTATAATACTGAGGAATGCCTAACCCTTAATTCAGTGTACTGAATACCTCTGGTGGTGCCACTGTCAGCCCCACAAAAGTTAACAGCAGTTTTTCTGTTACTCTTCAGTTATATACTTCAAAGAGTTCAGAGCTGCCTGAACTCAAAGTATTGTGTGTGCGGTGGTGAGGAGCAGGGCGAAAAGACAGGCATGTTAGTCCTTCCAACTGCTTGCCTTGGAGCTGTATCTTGTCAAACTGTTCAGTGCTGTAGAGCCAACATATAACTCTATAAGGGCAAATGAAGAGAGATTTCTAATCAGAAAAATAGGTAAAGTACTGTATGCCTTTCCTGAAATGTTAAATGGGTTCAAAGTGGGTGATTGCTTAAAAGGAATAATGTAAATTAATGCATGCTAATTTTTATATTCTTTGCAAATTATTGCTGTTCTACTGTGAATATTTGTTGCTAAATAAGAATCTGAATGTACATACTTTTGTAAGGCCTTCAGCAGTTCTGAGTTTTTTTCTCATTATCATGAATCATACATATAGAATCATAGAATGCTTTGGGTTGGAAGGGACCTTAAAGATCATCCAGTTCCAATCCCGCTGCCCTGGGCAGGCACACCTTTCACTAGACCAGACTGCTTTGAACACTGCCAGGGATGGGGCATCCACAGCTTCTCTGGGCTACTTACTCCAGTGCCTCACCACCCTCACAGTAAAGAATTTCTTCCTAATATCTAACCTAAACCTGCACACGTCCAGTTTGAAGCCATTCCCTTCCTCATCCTACACGACATGCCCTTGTAAAAGTCCCTCTCCAGCTCTCTTGTAGGTTCCCCTGGATGGCTGCTGTAAGGTCTTCCCAGAGCCTTCCCATGGGCTGATTAGTATTTCTTTGCAGTAGTCAAGATCTGTGAGAAATTATATCCTCACCCACATATATTACTAGTTACTACCCACTTTCTCTTCTCTTTTACCCATTGAGATATAATTGCCATATACGATTTTACTAGATCTTAAAGGTCTTTTCCAAACTGAACAATTCTATGATTCTATAAAGCTATTCATAATATGAGGGTGGATATGTGACAATCTTTTGTCTGAATATCCTTTACAGTTTTTGGACAGAGCACCAATTATCTTCTTCCTGTTACGTAATATCGAGCTTGTCCCAGTAGTTTTGATACATTTTTCCTCAACAGTATTTGTACACTTCAGCAGTACCTTTTTATTAATGGCTACTTACAGTAACAACTGCTGTTTCCTAAAAATAAAAGTTCTACTAAAATGTATTTTTATATTAAGAAAATGAAAACACAACATCATGATCTAGTTTTCTTTAGTTATGTAAAATATGCACCTTCACGTACAACAGAATATTGGTTCAAATAACATCACTGTAATATTTCACAAACTTCTTTTTTTCCCACCAAGTTTAAGATAGTAAGCAAAAAGAATCTGATATTTAGTCATATCCATAAAGATGAAAAACCCTGTTTAACACATTATACAACAAGGGGATTGCCACTATTTATTCCCTTACTCAGACTTGAATTTTATTATTGGCTGATCTTGTTCAGTTGGGCGGGGCATAAAAAAAGATGTGGAAGGCTTAACCTACCTCTCAATTATGGTAGTTTAATTATAAATACAAAGTTTTAATTCCTATTAAACTGTGCATCAAACAGAAAATGTGAGTTTAACCTGTCAACCTAACTCTTCTTCTGTGTACTTTGGTGTGAATTCTTGAGTGTAACACAGCTCCAAACATTCTAAAAGATATTATGGATTATACATACTTATTTAGGACTCCTTCCTTTAGAAAGGTTTTAGTCATGATCTGCAGCACTGTCTCCGGGACAGTTTGAAGATAAATCTTCAGAGTCTAAAGGATAAGCAGAGAGAAAGTGAGTAATTCCAGCTCAGAGGAGAAAAAATGATTGCTAGAAATATTTGTAGAATCCATGTAAAACAGATTAAATAGAATTCAAGGTTTACAAGATATTAACTCCCAAATTTGTTTTAAAACAAGGAAAAAAATTCCATCCTCTTTGGTGTAGTGGAAATGTATAGTTTTCTAATTGTTTCAGAAACATAGTATTAAATACCTGAATTTTGTTTTCTCAAAACTAAATTAATACAAATAGAAATTCAAATAAATTTCAATATGGTTGGCTGTGTTTTGTTGTGTACTTTTTCGTTGTTTTTTTTTTTTGCTTGTTTCATTTTTTGTGGGTTTTTTTTGTTTGGTTGGTTTGGTTGTGGGGTTTTTTTGTGCATGTAAACCTAAAAATTGCCTTACAATCAAAATGTACAAAGCTTTATGCAAAACCAGTAGCCTGCAAGATAAGTTTCCTATGTAAATTTAAAATACTGCCATAAGAGAAACACAAGGGATATTATCTACTATTTGAGTTGAGTTGCATAAGCAAAGCAAAACACAAAAGACTGGCTTACTCTCACCTTCATAGGTTGTTCCACACCAAATGCAATAAAAGTGTTCTTTTCTCAAGTAGGCTGTCAGGATGTGTAGCTTTTCTGATACCTAGAGATATATACAGGAATGCAATGATCTGGGGCTCACATGACATACATCAGTTTAAGCTACTGGTTTGCTAAAATAAATTTTTAACCTTTTGCTATTGAAAAGCTACACAACACTGTAGCTCAGTAAGACATGAAGTTTTCCAAATCAGTAGAATAGGGCACAGGAATTCATCATCTCTGGAAAATTAACTGTTGTTTGCTGTTGTTTGCTCATCCTTCTTTCCAGCTAAGTAATCTGCACTAAAGAGAGCTACCTAAAAACATTACTTAGCTACCTGATTTCAAGTATACAGTATCTTTTGTGGATTTTTTCACACCTAATCTCTGACTGTGTAACCTAGTTCTCAAAAATTGTGAATTTCCTGTGTCAAGCTTGAGATGATCTGCAAAGCATTTTCAGAAATTACTCGGTGATTCCAAAATTCAATCTCAGACATCAGATGAGGCATCCAAAATTAAAACTCAAAAGCAAGTAACTATGATCTTGCATAGATCAGCCTCAAAACAGATGAGCAATAAATCAGTGGTTTAATGTTTTATATTTTATCATGTGACTGCTATAAGAATCACTGCTTTGAGATTGCAAAGAGGCCCTTCACTACAGCTTGAAAAATGACATGTATACATATATCATTTATATATATATGTATACATACATACTGTTTAAGGGATTATTAAATTTAATTCTGAATCAAGCCATTAATTTAGATGCAGAACTTACACTTAAGTCTGAGCTTGTGCATTCATCTTCCTTGTCTTCCTCATCCTTTTTGTCTTCCTCTTCAGGTTCTATCCAAAACCAAGTCTCTTTGGGAACTTCAATGTCCTTAAATAATGAGGGATTTAAATTGATGTTATCTGCCTTTGTAGGTTTTCTTGTAAGGTGCCAAATAAAACCCGTTTCTAGAAGGTGAGGTGTTAAGTTTTAAAACTTGAATGTATAGTATAACCAAGGATTACTAAAGCTGTAGTGAGAAACTAAGTACAGCAATCCACAAGAAGGATTATTCAATTTTTTTTTAAATGATGAAATGCATGCTAACAACTAGTTCTATTCCATCTGTGTTTGGTATGTGTGAGGCTACATTGCAACATTATCTCCCACCAAGGCTGTGAGCAGACACCCATGTTTATCAGTTAAAGACATGCTGCCCCAAGTTATTTTGTCAAGAGATCACATGGTGCTTCCTAATCCACTTCAGGTAATGTTAAAGGAAGAAGAGTCAACAAAGATTATCTAAGGTTAATTCAGCTGACTTCATCTGAAGCAAACTAAGTGGTATCAAACAATCTCAGCAGAACTTGTGAGGTGGTATTAACTTCTAAAAGGTTAATAGAGCAAAAGAAACCTTGAAGTTTTCAAGTAGCAAAAATTTATAGTAGTTCACTCCTATTACCTGCGTTATTCCTTGTAGGTGGAAGGTACTTAAGTTTTGTGAGTTTTTTTGTTGTTGGTTGCTTGGTTGGATTTTTTGTTTAAGTGCTGCTTTGGTGAATCTGCTAATTCCCTCAATGATGATTCCCATCCTTAGAGACACTAAAGAGCTGCCTGGACATGGTTCTGGACAACCTGCTTTAGGTGACCCTGCTTGACCAGGAGGGTTGGACAAGATTACCTCCAGAGTCCCTTCCCAACATCAACCTTTGTGTGATGGTGTTGCTTCCTCAGTTGAGGCAAACAGTGCCATCATTTAGGATGGCCTGATACTGGATACTGAAAGATATGCAAACAGCTCAGAAGTAACCACAAGAATACAGGAGCAAAAACATGGGTCCTCACATAAGTTACCATGAAGTTGGTGTGCACCTTCAACTATCTTAATGGTGCAAACATACACTTCTTATTTTTTTAAAAGGGCTGAAGTGTTGCCAAACATTAAGACTTCAGGCTAGTTACCCCACAATTTTAGACAACTTCCAAGATTTTAATCACTACTTTGTAGCCTGTATCTCTAACCTATAACCCTTCCTTCCAACCCCCAGAAACCCCACAGGTCTCACTTTTTGCATATCTAATTGCTGGCAGGCCCTTTGGCTTTTTCGCAGGTCCCCTTCCATCTTACGTTCTTCTTGTTTGTTTTTGAATCTTATTCTGTTAAGAAAAAGCAGAAAGGTAAATAAGCAGGCAGACACACGGTAAGACATGCATTACAGTCCACAGCTGTAAAATAGAAAAAGTAAGATTCTATTCCTACTGATTCTCTCAGACCATGACAACATCTGAGTTAAGAAGACATTCTGATGTTATTTCTGTGGGAGCACACCTTTATTTCTTCAGAATTATAACTTCAAGATGGTGCTTTTGTGATCATACTACGCTGAACACTGTTTCTTCATCAGGTTTTCATCAGACATAAATGTTTCACTAAACATCTGCAAATTATACAGCCTTCTCTAGGCTTTCCTTTTCCACATACTTCATGCAAATCGGGAGAAAACAAAAACAGTACAACCTTAACAAATTTACCCCGATTTTTAAAACCGTTTTAGCAACATTGCTCAAGATTTTAAATGTAAAATCCAGATAAAGATGGCATGATTCCCCAATTTAAAAAGTTGTGAATGACTTGAGAAAGGTTTGTATGTATATTATTTGCGTTATTAACAAAAAACTAAATGATGCAGCACATGCTTTTAGCATTGCAATGTTCATCAACTTTTCGTTTAGAATTGAGAAACAATTACACTGTATTGTAACTCTCACCCTTCATTGAAAACATTCAAAAATAGTAACACAATAAAAGAATAAGTAAACTTAGAGCATAAAGAGAATCGTTTTTTAGACATTGCTTGCAATTCAGTTACATGACTTTACCTGAACTGATCTGCAGCTTGTTCATTTGCTTGTTTTTTCATATGGAGTTTTTGTCTATAGTTTTCCAGTTTTTCTTCAGCTTTTCGCTTTTTTAATTCCTCGTGACCAAGACCACTTCTGCCTATGTTGGTTCAAAAGATGAATGTAACCAGTGGAGAAGCTCTGATACCCAACTAAGTAAATCAGAAAGCATCACAAACCTGTTTTTATGTTCAGAGGAATAGGTTCAACAATGCCTTCTCCTGTGAGAGAAAAAAATAAGTCAATTAAAGAAATTAAGTTTTTCTCAAAGTACGATTTGTGCAGTGTGTTAAAGTAGGCAAGTTGCTTTTGCCATGAAATATGTAGATTTTCTTGTGATTTTTTTTGGCTGGAAGTTGAAAAATCACAAATTGATATACATTTAGTGCACTACAAATGATGCGGTTGAACTGGAACTCCCTCTCTTTTTTGGCTTGTCTGCTGGGTTCCTAAATGTTTTCTTCAGGACGTGACCCAACTGAAAGAAAATGGTGTTGATGTGACAGGTATAACATGTCTGTGATGAAGACTGCTTTGTTACACCTTCTATAGCATTTTCAGTCTAGAATCTCACAACTTGACAATGATGAAGAATAAAAACAATGTCTGGGCCAGTTCGTTTGCAATTGTCTGCTAGAGACCCGGCACAGCAAGTTACTGATGCCTTGTTTTACTGATTTTACTTCATCTATTTAGGCTTCATAAGGGTAGGCCAGTGTGCACAATTTCTTCTGAAGACTCCAACTGTAAGTTCCAAGAGAGGGGCTGACATTTTTTGGAACACTATTAGCTTTGCAAAACCATCAAAACATCCTTCATGCAATTTCTGCAGGCATGCACATATGGAAGTGCATTTGTCGAGCTCCAAATACTGCTCTTCCCTCACATCTCTCAATAGCCTGTACTGTTTTCACTTTGGGTTTAGGGGTTCGCTCTCATACTTTGTCACAACACATTCACAGTTCAGTAATGTGAGAGGTACTCTGAGAGGCACTTACTGACCCTGTCTGCAAAGAAAGTTACGGACAGCTGCAGTCCGTAAATGTAAAGGTACAGCTGAATATAGGCACACACTTCAGAGAGCAACAAGCTTACCGCTTTTGCCAAGGGCTTGGCCGCTCTTGTAGCCCATCTTCTGGAGCAAAGCAAAGCCTTTGTTCTCGTTGCCCAACGCGCTTTTCAGCACCAAGTCTCGCCTCTCTTTTTCTTCTTCTTTTATACTCTTTTGCCTGTTCTTCTCATTGGCTTCCTTTTGCTTTTCTTCTTTCTGAATAGCTTCCTTTACCCGCCTTACCATGGGCAAGCCTGGCCTTACATCCTGTCTGGGAGTTAATAATTCCAGCAAATATTAGAGCTTTTCTTAAAACCATAACCCTAAAATCACTTAAAAGCGGGGAAAAAAAGAGCCAGCTACTTACTTAATAAACGAATCAGACATGTAGTCTTCCTCTTCATCTCCCTCCATGTCGGCACGCCCGCCCTGTGCCGGCCCCTTGCCTGTGGACACCGTCAGTACGCCTTACTGGGCATTTTATTTCCCCACAAGGCAGATCCCACTCTCGCACGGAGAGGCGCCCACCGCCACCGCCGCCCCCCGGCCCTGCGGGACGGGAGGGCTGATGCACGAACACAAGTGAACCCGCCGGGCCGCCCCCTCCCAACGCCAGAGCACCCGCGCCCGACTTCACCGCCCTCAGCGCGTTTTCCCGCACTCCGCTACCGCCGCTCCTGCCCAGGACCCTCCGCCTGCCGCCGGGGCGCCCACAGAGCCGCGGCCGAGGGGCAGTGGGGGCTGCGGCGGCCGAGGGGAACCGAACACCCGCCCGGCACCACCGCGGCGCCTGCGCGGGGCCGGCCCCGCCCGCCGGCGCCTGCGCTTCTCACGCTTCCTGCTGCGGGGCCGCGGGTGCTCCGGGGGTGCGTCGGGGCCGGGACCGGGACCGGGTCTGGGACGTGTCTCCTCCTTCCCCGCCCTACCCCGCCCGCCGGACCCGGGCTCTGCGGGGGCTGAAGCGGCCGAGCCCGCAGGGGATGGTCCCGCGGCCGGGGGCGAGCGCGGCGCATCGCGCCCACGCGTGTCCGTGACCGTGTCCGTGAGCGGCCCCGGGGCCGCGGTGTCGCGCCTGGCATAGCCCGACGCCGGCGGGACGCGGCCACCGCACGGTGCGAGCGTAAGTGACCGTGAGCGGCGGCGGGGCCCGGTCCGGCCCGGCCCGGGGGCTGCGGGGAGCGGGCCGGAGGGTCGTCCGCGCTTCGCTCCGCGGCGTTGGCGGCGTGTGGGGGGTCGGCGAGCGTGTGCGGGGGGTGCGTGTATGGAGGGCAGCGCGCATCGCTCCCTTAGCATCATTCTCATAGCATCATTGCCTCTAGCGTCATTGCCTTGAGCATCGTTCCCTTACAGCCAGGGCTGTACCGCGGCTTTACCTCCTGTGGGGTTTTTAGAACCAGGCAAGATGCCCTGGGAGAGGTGCTACAGCTTATTAAAGTAGCCGTACAGGTAGGGGGACCCAGCGCGAAAGCCTTTTCCCCCCATGCAGCCCTTTGGGAGGGTGTCACTTTGCCTAAACTTGCCTGGTTTTTAGCTTTCTCAGTCCACTGAAGTGCTTGCGTGATGAAGATATGAATAGTTGATTTAGGCTACAGAAAACCAGCTGTGGAATAGAAAGGAATTTTAGTGTATCTGAATGTTTTCTAACCTCTGTAATGCTTCAGCATACTTTGCTGGGCGCTGGTTGACTTTTATCAGCTTTCACTGTGCATCCTGTGGCAGATCACAGTGTATTTATTTCTTGTAACAGGCACAGCAAGACCCAACCCTCACCAGAATCGGTAGGACTTGGTGGGCATTTTTCACAGCATTTTGGAGCAAACCGTTTTCCAGTGTGTTTTGAATTGCTTACGTGTGTATGTTAGACTCTGAATCTTCAGCTGAATATTTGTGTAATTGTTTTTGTGCCTGATCTCTTGTGCTTCAGTGGCACAGTTGAATGTATGTGCAGGTTTGGTTGCTTGGATTTTGTGTTACTTAAATTAAGATGGAAAGGTATGGGAGTGTGTGGAAGGTTGTGGCCAGGGGTAAATGAAACCTTTTATGTGGGGAGAAAAAGGAGTAATGAGCTGTGCTGTCATGCAGCACTCCTGTGCTGTGTGGGTGTGACAAGCAGTGTAGATCTCTGGGGTGGTATCCAAAGAATCGTAGTGCTGTCATTCATTGTGTTTCTCTCTGCTGTCATGAAAAGGTATTCTGAGGTGATGTGTCTGTGTATTATTGACAGGCAATACTTCCTCAATTCTTTATAAATGAGAAAAAAAAATCCAGAAGATGTCTTTGGAGGTGTCAGGACAGGCTTCCATATGTGGCTCTTCTACATTTGCTGAGCTGTTGCTGGAGATGAATGTAGTGAAAAATATTATGCAAAGTACTGAAATGCAGAGAACAACCTTAGTATTACAGACACTGTGATGCTTTAGTTTCATCAGCACCAAATCCTTGAGGTGAATTCAGAACCATAATACAGTTGTAGTATTAACATGTTACCCGTACCAGTGTCTGTTTAAAAAAATAATAATTTAAATCACCTAATTTGACTTTAAGAATTTTTTGGGTTTGACCATGAATGAGGAAACAGCTTTGAGCTCTTGAGAGCACAAGTGGAACTGTGCAGCTGTCAAAAGATGATGTCTGTTGAACGCTGATGTCTTACATAATACTCCTTAGTTGTTTTGCTTTCTCTGTTTTGACTGAGATCCTAGTTTCAGCATCACTGCATTCAGATTTTGGGCTTTTTTTTTATTTTTGGGTTTCTTTTTTCTGAAGGTGGTTGACTTAATTTTGTGATTTTAGATAAGTTTTGTTTGGTTGTTTTTTTTTCTGTCAGCTCTTCATTAAACAGCTGCACTTTGTTTAAAGGTGGTTTGCTAAGGTTAAGTTGTCCACAGAGTGTTTGCTTACATTGACAGTGTGCTTTTGATCATGCTTTGGAGCTACCCACCATTCAGTGTTTGAGCAGGATGTCTGGTATTTGATTTGCAGTATTTTGCCTGCTGGGGAGTCTTGCAGTCGTTTGGCTACTGCTTGTATTCCAGGCTGTCACACCTAAGGCTTGCTAGGTTTCAGAGGGCTTATTTGTACAGCACTTAGAGCAAGGCTAGTGGGATCTGGGGAGTCTTAGGTCTGTGATGCCAAATAATATCACTGTTCCTACCTTTCTCAAATTTGTGATAGCTGGAAATTCCTACTTGTGGTAGGCTCATCTTCACACCTTGTCTGTTGAAGGGTGTTGAGGAGGTGGCTGGGTTCATGCCCAAACTTTGAGATTGTGCTCAAGGGTCTTGATTTGGGACAATCCTTATTCTCTTTTATGTAAGAGGAGACAGTGAGATGACTCCTTTACCTCTTTTGTACTTTTTTTCTTTAAAGGGGGACTTAAGTGTATTTTTCTTGTCTGAGAGTTTGGACCTTAAAATTGCCCATAGGTGCTTTTTTTTTATAACTAACAACTCTGTTCCCTGAAATACTAATGGATGCACTTAGTTTATAAATATATGTGTAGGTTTTATCTGGGACTGCTTAGCTAAGACAAGTCTAAGCAAGCTGGAAACTTTAATTTGATTTTCAAAGGTTTGTACTGATGTACTATACTTTATACTAATATTTACATTTTTATTTTAGAGTTTCTACACAAATTTACATAAAACTGGAATTTAACCTGTCATGGAGCTGGCTCACAGTTTGTTACTGAACGAGGAAGCATTAGCTCAAATCACAGAAGCAAAGAGACCAGTCTTTATCTTTGAGTGGTTAAGATTTTTGGATAAAGTGCTAGTAGCTGCCAACAAGGTAATTTTATGGGTTTTTTCCCTGCTTCTTTGTAAAGCATTTATATTAATTTCATGCCAGAGGCAGTTGACAGGTAATGGCCAGATGACAACTGTATGGTTTCAGATTCAGCCTGAAGAGCCTTTGTATTAGTTTGTAGCTCTTAAGTGTTTAATTGTAGGCAGACAGTAGGCAAGTACTAAGTATTTTGAAAAAGTAAAATTCAAATAGGATAACAGCTAATTCTGAGCATTTAGCATCTGTCTCTGCTATTATTGAATGTATTTCGAATCTCTGTGAAACAAGCAATTTGCTAAATTATATGCAATTGGGAGTGGTATAAGGTTTACTTCAGTCTCTTGTAGGTTTTTTTGGGTGTTGGTGGCAAGACACAGGATTAAATGGCTTTTTATTTATTTT